TGACACTCGGCCTCAACTGATCCAATAGGTGGTGGATCTGTGTATAGAGTGGTAGGCGTAGGGTCTGTGGCCGGAATGGTCTTCCAACAATAGACACGGATTATAGCGATTATGAAACCGACTAAACTTCCAGTCAGTATAAGACTTATTATTGAAAATATAAAAATATCGGTATTTGCCCAGGGTATACCTGCACAGACATTAATTCTAGTATTATTGCTTTGAAATGATTAATTATAACAATATTTTATTAAATACAGAACCCAAATAATATAAATTTTTATTTTTAAAATCAGTCGTTTATTATTTTGTTATATATAAAAATAATAATGAATTTTATATAATTGACTGCAACAAAATTCAATTCATACATACATACCATTAAATATGCAGAATAGTAACAGAATTAAGGCTGAAATAGCAGTAATTAACAAAAGTATTAATTCTTTCATCATTTTAATATAAATTAATAAAATTCAAAAAATCATTTAAAATCAATAAAATATTTGTTCACAATTCTCACTATAGTTGAAAGAATTTTTAAAATAAGAGTAAATAAAGAAATTTACATAAAAAGTAAAAGTGGTTTGCGAAGCAAATAGAGTATAGGTTTAATCGCCTTACAAACACTTTTGACTGCAATGCAAACAAATGCCATGCGATTCATAAACTATGTGTTTATACATTCACTCATTCCTTACTCTCATCTCTTATATTATTTCCAAAATTCCTAAACATATCACATAACCAGTCATTTACTCATTCAACTCATGTTAAACTTAATTAATTTACAACCAGTAAAGAAACTACTTTCAAACTAAATTCAATTAATGAGAATCCAATGTTCAGTAGATATACGAGGGCTCCCTTTCCACATAATGTGTCAACTTTTTCAATATTTGTACACTTTTTCCAAATATTACACAGATTTATTCAAAACCACATTATTATTGTAATTAAATTAAATTATTTAATAAATAATTAAGAATATATAAATAGTGCCAAATTATACACACAAAATGCCAAAACAGAATATTACCAAGAATAATTGATTTCAAGCTGTATATTGAATACAATGTAATATTGTGTAGTTTGTGGACAACTGGTGTAATCTGTGGGCCGAGTGTTGACTCTAATGTCTAGTGTATTGTGAAAACTGATTACTCATTGACTCAAAGCTTTCAATTAGTTTGTGTTGAGTTTGCATTGAATTGTCTTCAGTTGTCTTGAGTTGACCACAAATTGTCTGCAATGTCTGGACGTTATGATCGCGCCATCACTGTCTTCTCACCCGACGGGCATCTGTTCCAAGTAGAGTACGCTCAGGAGGCCGTCAAGAAAGGATCCACTGCTGTAACCATTGATGCACTTCTTTGATGCCTTCAATCTGATGAACCATTTGTTTGTCTCATAGGTTGGCGTTCGCGGCAAAGAGATTGTCGTTTTGGCCGTCGAGAAGAAGTCTGTCGCCAAACTCCAAGAGGAGAGGACTGTCCGCAAGATATGTCTTCTGGACGATCACGTGGTGATGGCTTTTGCCGGTATGTCATCTGACGCGTGATGTCTCGTACTCGTCATCTAATGATTAACTCATGGGTTGATAGGACTGACAGCCGACGCGAGAATACTGATAGACAGGGCTCGGGTGGAGTGTCAGAGCCATAAGCTGACCGTTGAAGACCCGGTTACTCTTGAATACATCACTCGATTCATCGCTCAGTTGAAGCAGAAGTACACGCAATCCAACGGCAGGCGACCCTTCGGTATATCGGCACTCATTGCCGGCTTCGACGAAGACCTCACTCCCAGACTCTTCCAAACGGATCCCTCAGGTATTCAGTGAACCACTCGCTGTCATGTCGAGCGGTTAATGCAATGGTTTGTCCGACAGGTGTGTATCACGAATGGAAAGCCAACGCCACCGGAAGGAGCGCTAAGACTGTGAGGGAATTCTTGGAGAAGAACTACTCGACAGAAATCGCTGAATCAAAAGAGGCGACCATTAAGTTGGCGATTAAGGCGTTGCTGGAAGTGGTTCAGGGAAAGAACCTCGAAGTCGCCAAAATGGAAAAGGGATCCAAAATGTCGTTACTGTCGGCCGAAGAGATCGACAAATACGTGACGATTATTGAGAAGGAAAAGGAAGAGGAGATGGAGAAGAAGAAGGCCAAGAAGTGATGACATGTGGTGTCGAGTGGAGACATGTTTGACATGTTTTTTATTGATTATTACAAAAATTGTATTTAATTTGAAGCCAATAATTAAAACGATTTCTTTTTTTTTATTAATTAATGTGTCTTTCAAATGAAGACTAAAATATTGAATTTAAAAGTATTGAAAATTATTTACTGATTGATGACAAACACACGGATTTGAATCGATAGTAAGGATCCGGAGTTTGAAGACTAACTCTGAATGCAATTGAATTGAGATGTCATTGAACTGATCGGTGGTTAGACGTGAAGAGCTAATCGGAAGCAGTCGTGTTCGACATAAAAGCTATCGTTGGCGGGCTTGAGGACGAAGACCTGATTGAAAGTATGCGGCGGATCGTCGTCTGTCTTGAGCTGTCCCAAGACGGCCACCAGAACGCCGCCATCGAAGGTCGGCTGCGCGTCGATCGCCGTTATTATGTGTTGGATCTTCTGGAACGTCAGGCTCTGGATCTTCTCCATGATCTTCGTTCGGCCCATCATTTGCTGGCCTTCGAAAGACATCAAAGACTTTTGTTCCTGAGGACAGTGACAGTGACAGTGATTAGTGAGTGAGTGGTAATCAGTGGTCAATACACACGGTGTAGAAGTTGGCCACATTTGGCCGTTGGGTCGAGTCGTCCATCAGTTGGTAGTACTGCTGGACAAAGGTTTTGCCGATTTGCTCGTAATTGGGATTCAGTGCCATCGATGACAGTGTGGAGGAATACCCGACAGACACGACAATCAGTACAACGATTGTGTTATGGCTTTCAAACAGTCAATGCATTCAATGCGAGACTCTTTTCACGACAAAACACGCAATGATTTGATTTGTTTTCACTGCAAACACACTCACACTCTCTCACAGTGTGTTCAATGCATTGTCAGACCCTCTCTCACACACTCTCTCACCCACTCTCTCACACTCTCTTCCCATCCAACGTATCCGCGTTTCGCCCAATAATAGCGTCGATTATTCGCGACACTCGTCTCAATACAACTAAACTTTTCATTTTATGCAATCATTTAACTGTTGTTTAGAAGATATTAGACTTTGACACAAGACTTGTTTATTGTATATTTCATATCATAAACAATCAATTGCTATACTTTTTCACCAATTTGTTTAATAATAAATTGTGAAATACTTTCTGCAATGCATTTATATTTGATTCCTATTGAATAGAAATTGATTCTTGACTATTACCGTAGAAACATTTTATAATAGTGTTAGCAAAATAATTATAATCTCCTTGGTCAATACTTAACCACACAATTAATTGAAATTCAAATGTATTTTATTAAAAAATGAAAGTTTTAACAAAATTAAAGCATGTGATATAAAGGACAACAAATTAAATACCATAATTGAGTCTTAACTGAAGACTTAAAGTTTAGATTGGCTGCCAATCTGTTGCATAAATCGTAAATCTCACACACTCTCTCACACACTCTCTCACACACTCTCTCACACACTCTCTCACACACTCTCTCACACACTCTCTCACACACTCTCTCACACACTCTCTTCCCATCCAACGTATCCGCGTTTCGCCCAATAATAGCGTCGATTATTCGCGACAGTCGTCTCAATACAACTAAACTTTTCATTTCATGCAATCATTTAACTGTTGTTTAGAAGATATTAGACTTTGACATAAGACTTGTTTATTGTATATTTCATATCATAAACAATCAATTGCTATACTTTTTCACCAATTTGTTTAATAATAAATTGTCAAATACTTTCTGCAATGCATTTATATTTTATTCCTATTGAATAGAAATTGATTCTTGACTATTACCGTAGAAACATTTTATAATAATGTTAGCAAAATAATTATAATCTCCTTGGTCAATACTTAACCACACAATTAATTGAAATTCAAATGTATTTTATTAAAAAATGAAAGTTTTAACAAAATTAAAGCATGTGATATAAAGGACAACAAATTAAATACCATAATTGAGTCTTAACTGAAGACTTAAAGTTTAGATTGGCTGCCAATCTGTTGCATAAATCGTAAACTATTAATGAGTTCTGTTTTATAACTCAAAGCATTAGTATTTCCATTATTTTGAGTGAACGCAGAGATGGCAAAAATGATCTGATTTTTGGATGGATTATAACAACAGCCGTATCCGTCGTACACAAGAGGTCCGTAACACATGAAAGAGTCGGGAGATATAGAGGCCACCTGTGAGGTCGACATATGGAAGTGCTTTGATCTCACATACAATTCGTTAGAGTATAGAGTTTGTAGCGTTTGATAGTCTGATTCATTGAGTGGATTATCAATGACATGTTGAGACAAACCCCACTTCCATTCACCACTCTTTACTTCTTGTGCGACACAATTATAACCTGTTTATAAGCAATTCAATACAATTAGTATCAATTAGTATCTAAATCAATGCAAACAAAAATGTACCCAAAAGGATGCGATCAATGCCATGACCACTGACTGCATTCTTAGCAACATTTTTGTGACTTTCAATTGCATTCATCAAAGTCTGAAAGTTTGGGGTTTTGAAAAAATCTACGAATTCTTGAGTAACACTCCTAATAGTCTCAGTCCTTCCAAATGAATACATCCGAGTCCCGCCTGATTCATAGGTTGCCCCTACTTTGCCATGAAGTCTATAGTAGGTCAGAGCAATAGCCAATTGAATCCAAGAATCTGGACTGCATTTGACATTTTTAATAAATTCTTTGCCGTAATCTTTAAACTCAAGAATTTCTAAGTCAAGTGAATTAACAAAATCCAAATATTTTTGTTTAGAGAACTCTTCGGATGCCTTTAATTTATCGTAAGTATCATTCGTGGCGAGAGTTAGTTCTTTAAGATCTGCAGTCATCTGATTCTTCGAAGACATAGTTTTATCGGACATTAAGTGTTTGATTGAGTGCTCCATCAGCTTAACTATAGTCCCCCCTTCGGCCGGCGTGTGTTCGTAACAAAACGCTGAACCAATCAACTGATCACCACTTTTATTGGTCACAATCAGTAGTTGAATAGTCTTATCGAACCAACGGTTCCCAATATTCTCAATGTCTGCGTGAAGCGACTGTTTGCCCATAACTTTATAATAGGATTCATTATCTTTAAACGTGTCATTAGAGCAGTCGATGTGATCGATGTTCACAACGAATTGACTCTCAATTATTTCATTCAAAGAGTTGTCATTCAATAACCGAAAAACAGTTGAAAAGTCATTTCGAGGCAGAGCTGAGAAACTGCCGAATGATAGGTTCGTTTCGGACGGACTTTGAGATAAGATGTGATTCACTGAGGACTGGATCTGCCATAACATCACCTCTTTGTCAGTGCTTTCATTTAGAGATAATTTATAGAATCGATTCAATCGACTGATTATTATAGAGATATCACTGCTTTCGAGTGAACCGAATCTGATTGTGTCGACAGGATTTCCAGGCATACGACAAGTGCCGAAGATCTTAGTGTACTGATCCATACACACCTTAGGCACCGGTTTGGACCCAGATTTTGGTGACAGTTCTGGATTGACTCCACTTTTCAATGCATTTCTAAAGTCAATGACACTGAGAATGAGTCGAGAAATGAATTGAACCACAAATTCCTTGTTCGCAGTCCTCGTCAATGTCTTCAGATCTGGGAATACGAGTCCAGGATTGGACCAAATCATCACTGAATCCCTACCCTCCAGGTATGCCTTATTGATCCACCAGTCGTGAGACAACCAGTTATTAGTTTGCGATGACTTGTGCTCCAGAAGACTGTGGAGTTTGGGTCCGATGCCATCACTTCGGGAGAAGTCATCTATAATTTGGTATAAATTATGCAATTCTTCACCACTTCTTGCGAATGGTTTGGTCGACACTTTCAGTCTATCAATGGTTTTGTTAAACTCGGGAACTATTAGTTTAGGCAAACCATCCACTGATGCGGCCGTCGATGACAACCACTGTCTCGAAGACATCGCACAAACTGATCGCCCAATCAATTGGATTTCATTCAAACGATTCAAACGATTGAATGCTTTCAACAGATTTGTCATCATTTGGATGAAAATGTTTGCAAATATTTGGATTGATTTCAAAAACTAATTATAATAGTAATCAATAGTGAACTCAAATACATTGCAATCCATTTCAAACCATAGCCTACGTTACGATTCACTAAAACCTCATCAAAATGTTTACATTTTATCAAAACTTTTGATACAAAAGTCATGTCTTTTGACAACAAGTTTGCAGTGATTGTCACCAATTGAGTGAACGCTCAGTCAATTGGTTCACAATTAGACACAACTTTTGAAAACTTTAATTCTTGTGATGAAACCCAACTCCAAGTCATTAGAAGTAAAACTTTTTTACGATTTTTCGTAACTTTTTTCCCATAATTTCCTCACAATTATGGCATTTATGGCACACATTATTACTGCCACAGAGAGGCCTATGCTGTATGAGTCATGTAAATACTCCGGGAGGGCATCGGGGGTCACATTCCTTGCCAACCCTTGCCATCAATCGTAAGTCTGTGAAATGCGCCCATTCTTTACAATATGTAACGTCCCATAAATATTACAAATAATACCCCCCTTTCAATAAATAATGGATCTTCTCATTGGAAAGCAATGGCCATAATATGAAGTCAAATTGATTTCTCATTTATTTGTCGCACATTATTGACGGTAAAAATGGGTGCGAGTGTTGGCGCGCATGCGTTGTCCATAGGAACAGATATTTAACGTATGACTGGATGTGATGTTCAGTTTGTTTAGGCATTCAGTCATTGAAGGCATTGAAAGCATTGAGTGAATGAATGAACGAAAGTATGGATTGAATTGTCGGTCGCTTTGAATGCATTCACTCTATAATGGCGTCAATTAATAGCATTAAAAACAATCACAACTCTGTCGGAGACAACAACTCTCACCACAACTCCATCAACGACTCCGAAGAGCAAAACATTTGGTAAGTGTTGTCACCAATAGTGAGCCATTGATTGTCGTGGACGACTGCATGCATGTCTTGAGACACTCCCAAACCGTTGATGTAATGACTGCTTGTTTCGGTGGTTTAGGTCTTCAATCCTAACTCAGGTCCAGACGTCGGCATCAAATAAGTTGCCCTCAAATAAGGCGATCGTTAGTCGAGAAATGAATTGAACCACAAATTCCTTGTTCGCAGTCCTCGTCAATGTCTTCAGATCTGGGAATACGAGTCCAGGATTGGACCAAATCATCACTGAATCCCTACCCTCCAGGTATGCCTTATTCATCCACCAGTCGTGAGACAACCAGTTATTAGTTTGCGATGACTTGTGCTCCAGAAGACTGTGGAGTTTGGCTCCGACGCCATCACTTCGGGAGAAGTCGTCTATAATTTGGTATAAATTCTGCAATTCTTCACCACTTCTTGCGAATGGTTTGGTCGACACTTTCAGTCTATCAATGGTTTTGTTAAACTCGGGAACTATTAGTTTAGGCAAACCATCCACTGATGCGGCCGTCGATGACAAGCCCTGTCTCGAAGACATCGCACAAACTGATCGCCCGATCAATTGGATTTCAGACAAACGATTCAAACGATTCAATGCTTTCAACAGATTTGTCATCATTTGGATGAAAATGTTTGCAAATATTTGGATTGATTTCAAACACTAATTATAATAGTAATCAATAGTGAACTCAAATACATTGCAATGCATTTCAAACCATAGCCTACGTTACGATTCACTAAAACCTCATCAAAATGTTTACATTTTATCAAAACTTTTGATACAAAAGTCATGTCTATTGACAACAAGTTTCCAGTGATTGTCACCAATTGAGTGAACGCTCAGTCAATTGGTTCACAATTAGACACAACTTTAGAAAACTTTAATTCTTGTGATGAAACCCAACTCCAAGTCATTAGAAGTAAAACTTTTTTACGATTTTTCTTAACTTTTTTCCCATAATTTGCTCACAATTATGGCATTTATGACACACATTATTACTGCCACAGAGAGGCCTATGCTGTATGAGTCATGTAAATAGTCCGGGAGGGCATCGGGGGTCACATTCCTTGCCAACCCTTGCCATCAATGGTAAGTCTGTGAAATGCGCCCATTTTTCACAATATGTAACGTCCCATAAATATTACAAATAATACCCCCCTTTCAATAAATAATGGATCCTCTCATTGGAAAGCAATGGCCATAATATGAAGTCAAATTGATTTCTCATATATTTGTTACACATTATTGACGGTAAAAATGGGTGCTCGTGTTGGCGCGCATGCGTTGTCCATATGAATAGATATTTAACGTATGACTGGATGTGATGTTCAGTTTGTTTAGGCATTCAGTCATTGAAGGCATTGAAAGCATTGAGTGAATGAATGAACGAAAGTATGGATTGAATTGTCGGTCGCTTTTCATGCATTCACTCTATAATGGCGTCAATTAATAGCATTAAAAACAATCACAACTCTGTCGGAGACAACAACGATCACCACAACTCCATCAACGACTCCGAAGAGCAAAACATTTGGTAAGTGTTGTCACCAATAGTGAGCCATTGGTTGTCGTGGACGACAAGTGCATGTCTTGAGACACTCCCAAACCGTTGATGTAATGACTGCTTGTTTCGGTGGTTTAGGTCTTCAATCCTAACTCAGGTCCAGACGTCGGCATCAAATAAGTTGCCCTCAAATAAGGCGATCGTTGTATTGGGTATGGAGTCGTGCTTTGATTTCATATGAAATATACAGTCATTTGTGTTGACCCTTGAAATGTGTTCACAGAAGACGTGGTCTGATATCGAAATGTTATCACTATTTGTATCACTATTTGTTTGCTTTGTATTTGATTTGAAACTCTGAGGCCATAAACACGTCTATCAGTCGCACAATGAATAGCTTATTGAGAGAGAGTTGACAACAAATGACTGAATATTAGAGTTATGTGTAAAATGTAATATAAGAAAGTATTGTATTGATTGGACTACAGGTGACAATGACTCGGGAAAGACATCACTTATCGCTAAAATGCAGGGAAATGAGGACACGAGGAAGGGGTCGGGTCTGGAATACCACCACCTGTTGGTTAGGGATGAATACCGCGACGAACAGACCCAATGCGGCGTTTGGATCCTCGACGGCAACTGTTCCTGGAATTCACAACTCCTCAAGTTTGCCATCAATGAGCACACCATCCCCGACACCACTATCCTATTGACCGCTTCAATGACCAAACCCTGGGATATAATCAACTCATTAGAGAAGTGGACCAAAGTATTGGAGGAACACATCCTTAAACTTAATCTCCAAACGGAAGTCCTTCACAATTATCAACAACAAAGTAATGTATTTATTGTTTTATTTTTTTATGAGATTAAGAGTAATCTAATGCACTGTCTCTTTGGATTAGTATTGAAGCGATACTTAGAATATATATCTCCGGGCGATGAGATCGAGGGTTTAGTCAATACTCCGGTTAAGTTAAGAAGTAATAGTGATTTGGACGCAGCATTCAAAGCCAGTATTACTAGCAATTCAGTCAACAGTCCACTACCTGAGGGCGTATTAACGCATAACTTGGGTCTCGATGTGATTGTCGTCATCACTAAAACGGATTTCATGTCGACTTTAGAGAAGGACTTTGACTACAAAGAAGAGTCGTTTGATTTTATACAACAAGCGATTCGCAAATTTTGTCTTAAATGTAAGTCTTATTGACGTCAATTCATGCCAATTACCACTAGTTGTCACACATAATGATGAGATAATACAGACCTGTTATGAGCTATGATTACACTCTTCCACCTGTTTCTGAACATATGTTTCGTTTTTAGTTAATTATAACGATATAATTGTTTTGAGAGTAATTGTTGCTTATCTGTTGTATGTCTACAGTCGGTGCCTCTTTGCTATACGTTTCGGTTAAAGTAAATAAAAATTGTGATCTTCTCTACAAATATCTGGTTCATAGGATATATGGACTCAAATTCAAAACGCCTGCTCTTGTCGTCGAAAAAGATGCCGTCTTTATGTAAGTCATTTGGTTGAGCCTTTTGTACACTTTATTAGATTATTGATGTGTTTGTGTTGACCACAGACCCACCGGTTGGGACAATGAGAAGAAGATTGCAATTCTTTACGAAAATATTCAGTCGGTTTCACCCGATGATGACTACAATGATGTGATTGTAGGTCCGGCCGGTACTAAAGTGAGTGCTTTTTGTAGTTTGTATTCATTTGAGGCATTATAATGAACCCATGCTTACCAAGTGTTCGCTCCAGTGGTTTACACTTGCAGGCAATTATTTTAATAGTAATTGAATTTATTATAGAGTATTGTTAGAGACTAACTTTGCAATCAATACTGAATTACATTTTCATTGATAGCCTCTTCAAAAAGAAGTGGAAATGTGTGCCGAAGACGATCAGGTGTTTCTCCTCAAAATGCAGTCCCAACTCAACCAACAAACTCCCGTCGGAACAAATGCTGTAAATATACATCTAATGATAATTTGTTATATTTTATTATAATTAATGATGAGTTTATACAGACCTGTTATGAGTGTTTTGATTATAATTTTCATTTCTGAACACTGTTTCCATTATTTCTCTTTAATT